CGACCCCTTCCCTGGGCAGCCCCTTCCAGTGCCTGACAGCCCCAAGGGGAAGGAATTGTTGCTGATCTGGGGAGCACAGCAGAGACCCTTTCAGGACTTGACCTGCCGAGGCAGGAGGATTCCCAGGTTTTAGGCTGGTGCCTGGCTCGCCCCCACAGAGCTGCCCTGGCTCTGGCGCAGCGTGGGTTGCAGCACACACCGACCCCCCGGTGGGGAGCCTGGGGGAGACCCCAGCCCCGTACAAACGCCTGCCGTGCTCTGCCGGGCGGGTCCTGGGGGAGGAGGAAGGGGGAACCGCTCGCCCGCAGCGCCGGGAGGTTGGGGCAGGAACGCGCGGTGTGCGATGTGCCCTGCGTGCGCGTGTCAGCGCGGTTCTGAGTTACGCTAACAACTGAAACCGCCGGCCGCCGTGGGTCCGTGCCGCCGTGCACGTTGCTTTGATAGAGCCTTTCCGTAAGGCCTGGCTCTGTTTGTGAACGCCTTTCCCGCATGCTCTGGCCCTAGGGGCAGGAGGAGAGCCGCTGAGGGGTGAACTTGGACGTCTTAGTGGTGGTGGGGTTTGGTTTTGTTTTGTTTTTAAGGGATTTAGGCACCCAGCGATGTCAGAAGCAAGGTGCTCTGTACACCAAAGAACAGGCTGGCTGATGGGTCGGGGTCTGCGTGGGTTCGGTGACGCCTCCGGAGCTCTCGCCGAAGGGTGTTGCTGCTCCCTGGGGTAATTCTTGGTTTGATGTTGCAGGAGGAGGAGAACCTGCGTGCTCAAGTCAGGGACCTGGAGGAGAAATTGGAGACTCTGAAGATAAAGCGAAATGAAGACAAGGCGAAGCTTAAAGAGCTGGAGAAGTACAAGATCCAGCTGGAGCAGGTGCAGGAGTGGAAGAGCAAAATGCAAGAGCAACAGGCTGACCTGCAGAAACGTTTGAAGGAGGCCAAAAAGGTGAGCGTCCCTCGGGGGCGGGGGGCTGGGGGCTCCGGTCCTGGGGCTTGCACAGGGATACGTGAGGCCAGGGCCAATGCAGTTCCTTAATTTGGGGGAGGGTTATGAAGTGTCAGGTGGCATTAAACTGTGTGCCAGGCCCCACAGTGGCCTCTGACCCCACGCGTCGCTGTTCTCTCCAGCGTGCAGACTGACTTGGGGGCTGAGCTGCCGGTGCAGACCCCAGGTGACGGTCGGGGTACGCTGCACGTGTGGCGCAGCCTGCGCGGTCCTGCCGGGGGAGCGGAGGTTTTGTGCCTCCTAGGATCTGCATTGCTCTTTGCTGCCTGCCTGCCCCATCCCTCGGGCAGCCGGGCCGTTGGGACGGGAACGTCTGATCTACCCATGGCTCCGTCCCTTGGTCGGTGAGAATTTCGGCCGTGCGCAGGGGGAGATAAGCTGGCGCTGGAGCTGGTTTTGGGTGGTAGGTGGGGACGAGGAGCGTGGTAGTTGAGGAGCAAGTTGCCCATCTCAGCTGGCAGGAGGGGTCTCTGCGCGTGGCCGCAGCCGCCTCTCTGCTTTAATCTGCTCTTGCGGGCCTGCCAGGGGCAGGGGAGG